GGGGCCGGTGAAAAGGCAAGGCGCCAGAGGGACTCGAGTCTCAACAGGTGGGATTTGCGGAATTTGGAAATGTATGTTTCTATTGTAATGTTCCTCCATATTTGTAAAAATTTTTAAACCTCCATAACATAAACTACAAAAAAGAAAGCTCAGTCTCATTTCCTCAGCTTGTGGAGGGTCTGTGGAAGGGTTCTGCCTAGCACAGCTTCTGATGCTTGGCTGCAGAGATGTCCTCCTCCCTGACCTGGAGGGGATGAGAGGATCAGGTTTCCAGGTGGGTAAGAAAGTTGAGTTTATGGAAAGAAATCGCAGTCTTGAAAAAAATCCCTGAACTCCCATGGCTCAGGGCTTGGACAGATGAATTGGCAGGTGTGTCCCCAAAACATGAGAAAAGTCGTATTTACTCTTTGCCTGTTTCCTGCAAGAAATATCTTGACCCTTCTCTAGCCGTTTGTGATGCCAATTCTTTTATTAGTGAAAGTTAGAAAGAAAGTTTTAAGTGTGCGCTACGTGATGATCCCTTTTGCTGAGCATGTAGGGCAAATCTTTTGTGGATTATAAATCTGTGTCTTCTCTTCTTAGACAATTAGGAAGAGAATGCCACCCATATATTCTGGTGAGGTGGGTGACGTGGGGCTGAGTCATTCAGGCAATTCTTTATTCATTCTCCTTTCATCCAGCAAATATTGAGTCCTTTCTATGAGTTCATCACAGTGGGTACCCATTTAGAGAGGAGAAAATAGACCTTCACTAAGAGAATGCAGATAAATAAGAAAGTAGACATTGTTAAAACCTCTCTGAAGGATTCAAGTGATTTCTAGTTCAAAAATTCTTTGATTTGGAGACATTGTATTTGGGTTTCATTGAACATGTGGAAACTATTTTCTTCTTGTGATCTTTGAGGCTTATCTGATTCTTGGCTCAGAGACCAAATCCCCTTCTCATCTGGGTTAAGGTGGCTCACCTGCTCTCCATAATGGTTAAGACCGGTGAGTTGAAGAGCCCTGCTTGAAGCCACACGTGTTAGGAAGGGGAGGTGGTGTGGAATGTGATCACCCATACACATTCCCCTCCAGGAAAAAATGGGAAAGACTGGACACGGGCTTGTTTAAAACGGCCAGGGGGAGGCCCTCTCAGAGACAAGTAGCCAAGCTTCTCACTGACTTGGTGTTTTGACTCTTCCAGGGTACCCAGAAAATATGCCTTCCCTACAGCCCCACAAAAACTCTTTCTGTGAAGTCCATCTTAAGGTGAGTGCTAATGAACAGAAGCCCCACACCAGGATTTGGAGCCCTTTATGAATTAATTGTTTTCTCCTGCGATCAGTCCCATGTTAGCTTTCCATTTTCTTGAGCCTTAACTGTGTGCCAGATACTTGGTTGAGCACTTGACACACATTACCTGTGTCATCATCACAGCACCTGCCTTCCAGGTGCTGGGACTGTCCCCATTTTGTAAATGAGGAAAGGGAGGTTCTAAGGGAGAAACTGAGATCACACGGGCAGGGTGTGGTGGATCCTTCTTGCTCGCACTCAGAGACTTTGGTTTTATAAAGAAAATCAAGAAGTGTTTTTCCTTTCATTTTTCTACTTTGAAATAGAAACGCAGATGTCAGCAAAGGCTTCTCTGAGAAGAATGTGCTTATTCTTTGCCGAACAGAAATTTAAATGAATGGAACATCTGGCTACTCCCTGCCGAGCTGCCTCTCCTGCCCCCACCTTCCCACCTCCCTCTCCTCTCTCTCCCATGCTCGGGTGCAGCCTCCCTAGGGAATGCCACAGCTCACAGCCAGCCTGTTGCTTTGTCACCAGCTGAGATGTTACATCACAAGAGCGGGAGCTTCTGCTTGTCAGGCGCTGTGCTGAACGCTTTACAAGCGTTCTCTGAGTAAACCCTGAAAACAGCTCCGTGACTAGATCTATTATTATTGCCATTGCAGTCATAGGGAATTGAAGCCTCAGAGAGGTGAAGGGATCTGACAGAGATCTCACAGCCAGTAGAGCGCAGACCTGGGATGTGACTCCGGGGCCTGGGTGTTAACCTTTGACACTGTCTCTATTCTGTAGCTAGGTTGTGGTAGGAGAGATGTTTTCAGTATCCCCAGGCAATACATAAGAGCTACCCCTCATCCCACCAAAATGGCTCTTAGAGTGAAAAATGCTACCTGGCTGATTAAAAGATACCAAGAGTAGAAATAAAAAAAACGTATATCCATTTTCGAGCTTAGTTGTCTCCAAATTGCAGACCTTCATCCTGTCTGCCCTAGGCCTTTTGATTTTGCTCCTGAGCAGTTCTGAAGCCTGAGTTAAGAAAGCATTTACCAAGAGGTCAGTACTTGTGCTGAGCACAGAAATATCTTACTGCTTCTAAGGAGCTATAAATCTTATCTTGCTTGGAGAGTGAGAGTCTGAATTATACTGGCTTAAGATTTCTGTGAATCATCCCCCCCCCCTTTAAAATAAGTTGCTTACACTCCTTTCTTCTTTCTGTTTAAAAACTAGGCATTTCATTTCGTTTTAATTTCATGTAGTCCCCCAGCCTCCCAGTGTGGTCCAAGGTGCAGCAGGATTGTAAAGATGTGGGAGACTCCCAATTTCCACGATTGCTCCAATAGAAGAAAAGATTTTTATCTTCTTCTGTTACAAAGATGAACTTGAAAACTTAAAAGTAAATTAAAATAGGGCAGCACCTGTAGCTCAAGGAGTGAGGCGCCAGCCCCATATACCAGA